TTGTTAAATATTTTTTATAAGTGAAATATTTTAATACGTTTTTTTAAATAAAAATAAAGATTTTTTCCACTTTATGGAGAAGCGACGTCTGTGTCACGGGACTGATAAAGCTTTCATTGTCCGATGTTCCAGTGTATTGGGGAGGAATTGCGCCCCTTGCTGTCCCTGTACACAAACTGACCAAAACCTGGAGACAGCGGGTGTACAGACCCAGGAACTCGGCACAGGGATGGTGGGGGCTCCTCATAATGGGCACAGCGGGGGTACAGACCCAGGAACTCGGCACAGGGATGGTGGGGGCCCCTCATAATGGGCACAGCGGGTGTACAGACCCGGGAACTCAGCACAGGGATGGTGGGAGCCCCTCATAATGGGCACAGCGGGTGTACAGACCCGGGAACTCAGCACAGGGATGGTGGGAGCCCCTCATAATGGGCACAGCGGGTGTACAGACCCGGGAACTCAGCACAGGGATGGTGGGAGCCCCTCATAATGGGCACAGCGGGTGTACAGACCCGGGAACTCAGCACAGGGATGGTGGGAGCCCCTCATAATGGGCACAGCGGGTGTACAGACCCGGGAACTCAGCACAGGGATGGTGGGAGCCCCTCATAATGGGCACAGCGGGTGTACAGACCCGGGAACTCAGCACAGGGATGGTGGGAGCCCCTCATAATGGGCACAGCGGGTGTACAGACCCGGGAACTCAGCACAGGGATGGTGGGAGCCCCTCATAATGGGCACAGCGGGTGTACAGACCCGGGAACTCAGCACAGGGATGGTGGGAGCCCCTCATAATGGGCACAGCGGGTGTACAGACCCGGGAACTCAGCACAGGGATGGTGGGAGCCCCTCATAATGGGCACAGCGGGTGTACAGACCCGGGAACTCAGCACAGGGATGGTGGGAGCCCCTCATAATGGGCACAGCGGGTGTACAGACCCGGGAACTCAGCACAGGGATGGTGGGAGCCCCTCATAATGGGCACAGCGGGTGTACAGACCCGGGAACTCAGCACAGGGATGGTGGGAGCCCCTCATAATGGGCACAGCGGGTGTACAGACCCGGGAACTCAGCACAGGGATGGTGGGGGCCCCTCATAATGTGCACAGCGGGTGTACAGACCCGGGAACTCAGCACAGGGATGGTGGGAGCCCCTCATAATGGGCGCAAACCGGGTGTACAGACCGGGGAACTCAGCACAGGGATGGTGGGGGCCCCTCATAATGTGCACAGCGGGTGTACAGACCCGGGAACTCAGCACAGGGATGGTGGGAGCCCCTCATAATGGGCACAGCGGGTGTACAGACCCGGGAACTCAGCACAGGGATGGTGGGAGCCCCTCATAATGGGCACAGCGGGTGTACAGACCCGGGAACTCAGCACAGGGATGGTGGGAGCCCCTCATAATGGGCACAGCGGGTGTACAGACCCGGGAACTCAGCACAGGGATGGTGGGAGCCCCTCATAATGGGCACAGCGGGTGTACAGACCCGGGAACTCAGCACAGGGATGGTGGGAGCCCCTCATAATGGGCACAGCGGGTGTACAGACCCGGGAACTCAGCACAGGGATGGTGGGAGCCCCTCATAATGGGCACAGCGGGTGTACAGACCCGGGAACTCAGCACAGGGATGGTGGGAGCCCCTCATAATGGGCACAGCGGGTGTACAGACCCGGGAACTCAGCACAGGGATGGTGGGAGCCCCTCATAATGGGCACAGCGGGTGTACAGACCCGGGAACTCAGCACAGGGATGGTGGGAGCCCCTCATAATGGGCACAGCGGGTGTACAGACCCGGGAACTCAGCACAGGGATGGTGGGAGCCCCTCATAATGGGCACAGCGGGTGTACAGACCCGGGAACTCAGCACAGGGATGGTGGGGGCCCCTCATAATGGGCACAGCGGGGGTACAGACCCGGGAACTCAGCACAGGGATGGTGGGGGCCCCTTATAATGAGCACAGCGGGTGTACAGACCCGGGAACTCAGCACAGGGATGGTGGGGGCCCCTCATAATGGGCACAGCGGGTGTACAGACCCGGGAACTCGGCACAGGGATGGTGGGGGCCCCTCATAATGGGCACAGCGGGTGTACAGACCCGGGAACTCGGCACAGGGATGGTGGGGGCCCCTCATAATGGGCACAGCGGGTGTACAGACCCAGGATGGACTATTGATTTAGTGAATTAACAATTTGTAGAATAATGAGGTTTCTTCAGTCTGAAGTTTTTATTACAAAGTTACATTAAATCTCATTATAAATAAAATATCGTTGAGGAAATAAAAGCTGCTTCACTGATATTCAAGTAACAATGGGAGGGGCTTAAACCATCTCAGTAATGGTGACGGGTGGTCAGTGGGACGCGGCCCCCTCCTGCTGTTTCTGGGTCCGATCTTCAATCATATGCTGCATAGACCGCCATAGAGCGCGGATGTTTCCTTCCCCGAATCCCCGCGCTCCCCTGCGTTCGATGAGCTCCAGGTAGAAGGAATCTTTGCTGAAGAGCGGCTCGGCGAAAACCTGTAACAAGATCCTTCTGTCCTCCTCCGCCAATTCCGCGTTCCCCGTGGAAGAGTCCAGCAAGATCCCAAACTGTGACAGGTGTTGAGGGGTTAACCCTGCGCAGAGGATCTCCGCATGTTTCTGGGGGTCGGTATAGTACGAAGGGGGGTGCCCGGCAAACAGGACTCCGCGCTGCGCCAATGCAGAGGCGGCTTTGAAGATATCGGGAGTGGCGAGGCCGGCGTGCTGAATTCCACCTTCTCGGTGGTGCTGCAGGAACTGGTCGATCTGGTTGGTTCCTTGCTGCGGTAAAGATTCAGCCATTACTATCTTACCCACTTCGTTATGCCCGGGGCACTCCACGGAAGTCAAACGCAGACCTATCTGAGGGCCACAAATCTCAAAGCCCCGTTCGGGGTCTTCCCTGCTGGACAGAGGGAAATGCTGGAACCCAAAGCAACGTCTATACCAGTCCATGACACGCGGAGTGGTTCCTTGTGGGCAGGCATATGTGACGTGGTCTACGGAGGTCACATCCCCTGCGGGGTCAGGATCACTCTTGTGGAGCATCTGGAACCCGGGAAGGAAGGGCGCTCCGTATCGAGTGCGGTCAATCAATGTGTGGTTCACGTTTCCAACGGCAGACTTCACCACACAGTACGAAACTGAGCCGCCATCATCATGGAGCACCGTCGGAGGTACTAACAGGCGGCAACCTTCACCGGCCAGTCGGCGGCACAGACCCGGGACGTCCTCCACCTCATAGCTGATGTTGCAGGCTGTGTCAGCTGATGGGAGGGGAACTGGCCAATCGTAGAGCAAAGAGGAACCTTTCGGGGTCTCCCGATTGTTTTCATTCACCATGAACACCGCTCCCCCGTTTCTTACAGCCACCTGACACGGCGAGGTCCCGTCCAATCCACGAGCAGCAAACGGGAGGAATCGGTATTTGGTCACCAGATCGGTGATGGTCTTCTGGGCGCTGGAGACCTGCAGGGTGATGTGGCTGAGGCGGATGAGTGGGGACGCCATGATACTGACTGTAAGGCCTGCAGCAGAGACATGACAACATGAGCCCAAAATTATCGATTAACCCAGTGGAGGGGGGAAGAGTTAAAGGGGTAAATAAGGGGGGTAAGGGGGTAGATAGAGGAAAGGAAGAGAGGATAGCAGGAGGGAAGGGGAAAGAGTGGCAATAGGGGTGGGGGATAAGAGGGTAGAGAGGGAAAAGGAAGAGAGAGCTAATGGGGGGGGTTAGATAGAGGGCAGAGAAAGAGGTTAGATGGCACAGAGAATGGAGAGGAGAGGGTACAGTGAGAGGAGAAGGTACAGGGAGAGGAGAAGGTACAGGGAGAGATAAGAGGGTACAGGGAGAGATAAGAGGGTACAGGGAGAGATAAGAGGGTACAGTGAGAGGAAAGGGTACAGAGAGAGATAAGAGGGTACAGGGAGAGATAAGAGGGTACAGTGAGAGGAGAAGGTACAGGGAGAGATAAGAGGGTACAGGGAAGTGAGAGGAGAAGGTACAGGGAGAGGAGAAGGTACAGGGAGAGGAGAAGGTACAGGGAGAGATAAGAGGGTACAGGGAGAGATAAGAGGGTACAGTGAGAGGAGAAGGTACAGGGAGAGGAGAAGGTACAGGGAGAGATAAGAGGGTACAGGGAGAAGAGAGGGTACAAGGAGAGGAGAAGGTACAGGGAGAAGAGAGGGTACAGGGAGAGATAAGAGTGTACAGGGAGAGATAAGAGGGTACAGGGAGGGGGTAACAGTGATAGATTTGGGAAGAGGGTCTGTACATTGTAATGAACTTCTGGCATATAGTAATGTACACGGATTATATAACATGTCTGGTATATATTATTCACAGGATGCCGCACAATGTATAGCAGCGGACAACTCAGCACGGAAATGTCTGACAATGTACATGAGATATGATCATCCCCATTGATACTTATACACTGTATGGTATATGCATGTGATTATTCTCATTGATAAGTATATATTGCATACTCTGTACACGGTGATCAGACCCCCACCTCTCAGCGCTCACCTTGCCGGGTCACACTCGGTCACGTGGGAGGAAACTCATTCATACGAAGTAACTCTCATCTCCCGGGACGTACCATTCCAGTGACAGCGAGGGGGGGGAGTCGCGTGTCTGCCCGGTACTCCTCGTCGCTGTCACGTTCAGTGTGATGCGGTTGCAGATTCTCCGGCTGATCTTATCCTCATGTGTGTAGAAATAACA